AAATGGCTTGGGATGTTGAGCACATCTCAAATGTTGATGTCATGACAGTTATGAGTATGGCTGGTCATAAAGCAATCATTAAACTCTCCTAAATCCCAATATTCCCTACTATTTTATTTTATCTATGGCACTCAGACTTTCAAACAAACTATTCAACATGTAGTGACAGAGCCTATAATGGGGTCTTTGCTGATTTCCTGGTTGTGACAAAATGAAACAAAAATATATATCTGTAATGTAGATGTGCGTTTATAATATTTTACATTTTACATTTCATATTTTGTATTTTGATCTCCTGTGTTTTTATTGAAAGGTGATGTGAATGTGCCATATGATAAATAAATAATCCAAACAAAGCACTGAGTTGCTGCCATTATCAATGTTATGTTAGTCAACTCAATGGAAAATTTGGAAGATATATATATATTGTCAACCAGAAGCCTGATGATGGCAGATGAGATTCTGCTGAAACGTTGCTACAACTTTAAAAGCACAACTACAATGACGTGGGAAAATACCCCAACAAATCTGAATGCCATACATGTAAGTACCCGCGAAAACTTAAGAAAAATATATATATATATATAAGTTAAGTGAGTAAAATCAAACTTTTCTGGGGGAGAGGGGAAAGGAAGAGAAACCAGCAAGAGAAAGGGCGAAATTGGGCTAGGAGGCAGTACAGAAAAATAAAACCAGCAATACTTCCCTATGGGAAGCTGTGTAGCATTGTGTCCACTGCTCAGTTTTTAAATCCCTTCCCTTTTGGTCACATAACTAGAAGGGAGCAAATGCAGCACTTCCTGAGCTTTTCAATGAACACACACACACACACACACACACACACATTACACATATGCAGAGGAAAAATTGCAAATACACCTGTACATGTAGAATGCAAACACAGGACATCCTCCTTGGTAACTCCATCATAAAGGTAAAGATTTCTCCTGTCCAATTGTGACTGACTCAAAGGGACAGTGCTTATCTCCGATTCTCAGCTGAGGGAACCTGCATTGTCTGACAGATGCTTATGTTATCATGTGACCACCATGAAACTACAGAGTGCAGTAAACCTTCCCGCCAAACCTATTTATTTACTCGCACTTGCATGCTTTTGAACTGCTTGGTTGAAAGGAGATGAGACAAGTAATGGAACTCACCCTGTCGCACCATACTCTGGTCTCAAACCAGGGCTGTCAGCTTTCCAGCTGACAAGCTGAGTGTCTTAACTTCTGAACCATTGCATCCCTTAAAGACCAGCATACCCATACTCAAACAGAGGCAACACACGTTGACCTTAAGATTGCGCAAACAAATGCAACACTTTTCTTTATCACAAAGAATGAACTAGAGATCCTTCTGCCTGCTTCCCCTATCATGTTATTCTTTCCTATGCAAAAGAATGCTGGAAAGAAATTATGTAAACAGGAATTGGAGGCTGCCTGTCTCTGTGACTGTCTATCAATTACACAATTACAACGCAGAATTGGACCCAATCCGGTGTGGTGGGGAAGCCAAAAAAGAAAGATTAAGCTTGAAAATGAGCCAGATTAAATTAGGTGCTGGAGAGAGAGGGGGAGGGAGGGAGGGAGGGAGGGAGGGAGGGAGGGAGGGAGGGAGAGAGAGAGAGAGAGAGAGAGAGAAACCCAAACAAAAGTTTTGGATTGGGTCTGGGAGAGAGAAAGGGTTGGAGACCCTTCCAGAAGCTGCGCTCTGTATTTCCTAACTTGTCATGTTAGAAAGGTGCTAAAAACTGATGGTTTTGCCTGGCAGTTTTTCCACTTAATTTTGGTTAATTAAAAGAATCACTAAAAAAAAAAAAAATCAGGGGAGCCAGAGAACTAAGTTAATATCAAGGGAAATAACTTTGGGGCTATTGACATCTATCAACACCTCATTTGCTGCCATTGGCATAATGAGTAGAGAAGTATAAAATCAACACACTGTCTCAGGCAACCTTCTCCGAGCTAAAAATGTTGTTCTTTTCAATATAAGTTGTCAATGCTGACATAGTAACACTACCCGGGGATGATGAAAACCCAGGTAGTAGGGGGTTGCTTTGCTGGCTGGGAATTCTGGGAGTTGAAGTCCACCAGGCTTAAAGTCGCCAAGGTTGGAGACCCCTTCTCTAAACTGAGCCATTTGCAACAACTTAAAATACACCGCGAGACCCTTTTTTGGTGTAGTTTTTGTCATCTCTGTATACTTGTGTATATGCATGTGGGTACTATATAGCTTTGTTCTGTCCCATAAGATAAACGGGGAGGAGGTTCAACCTCCCTTTTCCAGAAATGTACTGTATTTCATTGAAGGAAGGAAGAATTCAGCTTTAGCTTAGGTAAAATTCCCCCTTTAAAATATAATGTATCTGTAAATATCAGTAAAACAATAAAAGTGTAGGGTGGGGTTTCAAAAGAACAAGAATTAACTTTTTAAAAGCTGGCCTTCCTTCCCCACTCCTGATATTAGGTTTTATGCCCGATTATATTTACATCTTTTGAATTTTGCAAACATTTGATCACAGAGGAGTAAGCAAGGAGAAAACCAAAGGTTCAGTGCAGCTACTGGAGATGCTAAGTCAGCCGTGTTCCCTCTCACCTACTTCTTGGTTATTTGGTCTCTTAGATACAGATTGCAAAGACAATGACAATGCCTAACAGGTAAGTGTTTGTACTACAAAACAGATGCTCCCCTGACTTTTGCGTCGCTGTGCATTCATTTGTGCAACATTGTCCTCTGATCTGCAGCAACAGCCCTGCGAGGAACAACTATTACCATGAATCCAGATTCCCATTAAGGCTGAAAATAACTTTAAATAGGTCAAAGAGCGCCACTGCCTGATAAAAATGTTTTATCAGTCCCAGATCAGAATCTGGAGCTCCGCAAGGAAAAGCTTGTTTACAAGGGAACGCAACATGGAATAGATCCTTGGGGATCAATGACATCTCTCAAGTTTAATAAAACCACAACACCGTCTTTCTCATTCACCCTCTCTGCATTAGACAGTCATATTTTAGTGTAACAGCGTCAATGGAATTATAAAGGTCCATATGGATAGCCAATAGTTAATTTAGATCAGATTTCCCTTTCATCAGTATATAGGCTATACATGAATGGTGGGTTATTCAGCATAGCTAACTGACTGCCTAAATTTTTGTAGACACTAAAGATTTAACCATATCATACATGTGGTTAATAATTCCAGCTTTGCTACTCGCAAATAGCTACAAATCTAAGTAGCTGCTGTACTTTTAAATGGCAGAAGTAAAAAAAAAAAAATTACTGGGCTCCCAAAATAGGTACATACATACATACACGAGTTCTTATTTATTTCAGTTAAATCTTGTTTCAGAGAGAGGGAGACAAAGAGACTCCTAGATAGGTAGACAGGCAACCCTTAGCCTATTTTGAAAAGCCAAATATCTCCCTACAATCCTAAGGATAAAACTTTATCCCTTTAAAATTATCATTGTTCAGATGGGTATGGAAAAACACGATAGCTAATAGAATAGAATTCCTTATTGGCCAAGTGTGATTGGACACACAAGGAATTTATCTTAGTGCAAATGCTCTCAGTGTACATAAAAGAAAAGATACATTTGTCAAGAGTCAAGAATCATCAGGTACAATTATAAGCAATCAAATCATAAAAGGACAGCTTTTGGTAAGAACCTGGTGTATTGAACTACATACAACATTCATCACCCTTGGCCAACATGTTTGTGGAAATTGTAGTTGAAGACACCCAGAAAGCACCAGTTTGGAAACAATTGTTTTCAAGGAGAAAATCCACTTAATATTGGGACTATTGTAGATGGCATCCCATTACTTATCCCTGGGTCTGTCTTACAGAGAGCCAGGATATTATTTTGGCTGTTGACAACAAGTTTACCTTCTCTTCTCTGAACAATCTTGCTTTAAATAAGTGTTTATTTGGGTCACTTCTTTCAACCCGGGAGTGGAAAATTTGTGACTTCCCACATACAGCTCCCCACATCACACACAGTCGGTCCTATAGGATGGGCTGCTGAGAGCTGTAATTCAGTAGCATCTGGAGATTCCCAGATTCTCCATCTCTAAATGATGCCTTGTTAAGACTGTCACAGTTTAGTGAACTGTAGCCACCCTGTAACTTTTTGTTAACTGTGTATTTTTGAGATTTGGAAAGTGGGGATTTGTCCCATATGAGCTGGTTCTCAATGAGCAATTCAGAGGTGTTTGCTCTCATAACTATAGAGGAGTGGGATTTGCAGAGGTCTTTGTACCCACCAGCTTGTTCCAGAGTAGGATGATGTTGCAGCTTTCTTCTAGTGCCATCTAGTTTAGTTAATCCAATTTGCAAGTACTCAGTGAAATCGTAGCCTAGTTAAATTCCCTTTCTTTCTATTTACCTTGAAGATAGATTGAAACTATAGCCTAGTTAAATTCCCTATCTGTCTTCATTGATAGGGAGGCAAAAACAGGACTGGAGAAACCATGACACTTCTCCAGGTCTCCTTGACCTGAGCTTTGATGACATTAAACACAGGATTAATTCAATCACTGAGATGAAAGGCAAGTTATTCACTAAACATGTGGTTGTCTGAAGGTTGTGGTATTTTACACATAAAAAGCAATATTAACTGGTGTGTGTGTGGGGGGGGGGATTCACCTTCCTAATTTTTCCCTCCTTTCTTTGTGCACATGTGGGGGGGGGGGGGGAGGCAATTTTGAGATGAGGCAATAGCCCAAAAGCATGCTATTGATTTTTTCCCGTTTTTTTTTTGTTTTTTTGCTCTAAATGGGAAATCTCAGGAGAGGGTAAAATGGGAGGAGGTTCGGGGTGGGGGGGCAAGAGACAGAGAGGGTTAGATAACCTCTGCAATTTTATTGGCTGACTTACCTTGAAGCCTGTAAGTTTGAGCATGCCCATTGGATGGGCGTATAAAAGAAGGGGCAGCGAACGCATCGGTCTGTCTTCTCAGTGGAGCAGTTCATTGAAAGTATAGCTGCTACTAGCAGAGCTGAGCCCAACAACCAGCTTTGCCTCTGGAAACGAGATCCAAGCAAGAGACAGCAAAGCAAACTAGCTAGCTATCGACGCTCGCTCGCTCGCACGCACACACAGACACGACACGCACAGTCAAAGATTTTTTTTTTTTTTTAAAGGGACTCGCTAAAGACCAAATAGAAGCAGAGAAATCAGTCAAGCCAGAGTCACCATGTCAAGAGCAGAGGATGAACGCTACAGCAACCCAGGCTTGCTCCAAATCTCAATGCCAGAAGTTGAAAACAGCCTTGGCAGTTCAAAGGTAAGGGAGAAAAACAAACGCTCTTGGGTCTTTTCTTTCTTTCTTTCTTTCTCTCTTTCTCTCTCTTTCTCTCTCTTTCTCTTTCTCTCTCTCTTTCTCTCTCTTTCTCTCTCGGTCTGAAGCTTTCGGAGAGGAGGCGAAGTGAGGGAGCTGGGTGGTGCGTTCAAGCGGCGTTTTTGGCGGCGGCGGCGGCGGCGGCGCTGGCCGGCAGCGGCAGCAACGGAACGGGCTCTCCCAAAGAGTGAGGGGTCCGGGCGCTTAGGTCGCGCTGCGGGAATGGCTCTCTTTGCGGCTTTTGCATGCGTGAGTTCAAGGAAGGACGCCGCCTGTAAAACGCAACAAAGCTGGTTTAACTCCGTTCGGGCCGGAGAGAGTGAAGAGCGAAAGAGCAAAAAATAAAAATAAAAAAAATAAAAAAAATTCTGGCTCTCCTTTGAGGAATTTAAAAAAAAAAAAAAAATCCAACGACTCAGATCCTCCACTTGCCTCCTAAAAGACTTCTCTCTTCTCCTTTCTTCGCGCTGACCCCCTCCTTTCAGCATCCTTCCTCCCCCCTAAATAAAAGCGGGCTTGTGTTTTGATTTTGAGGTTGTTGGTTTATTTTGCACACCTTTTGTCAGTCCGTCTTCTGCTTCCCTCCACCAGCGCCCCACCGCCCCCCCTGTAAAGTCTGCGCGAAATGATTTGCCGAGCAGGATCGCCGCAGAAGCGATCGGCAAGTGGAGCGCGCTTTCTTGCTTTCATTACTATTTATTATTATTATTAATTATTATTATTATTAAAAACGTTTTTTACGATGGTTATTTTCTTGCTCCTTTGCGGAGCAGAGCGGGCGATTTGGGGGAGTGGGGGGGGGGGGGAAGGAAGAGAAAACTTTTTTTTGAGTACTTCGTTCTGCGATGCAGACAAGTTGACACTAGAGGGACCCCGAGGGTTTGGTCAGAATGCCCTGTTTTTTGAGTTTTGCGAGAGGATTGTGGCACTTTTCTGATTTTTTTTTTTTTTTTAATACAGTAGGAGAGCAGGCGGAGGGAGATGGGCACGCTCCCGGCTTGGGTAGCAAAACTCCATTGTAGCGGAGAGGTTGTGTGAAAGTTCCTACCCAGAAAGAGGAAATGGGGGCTATGTGTGTGTGATTGTAGGAGAAAACAATCGGTATAAAAAGCCCCGATGAATGTGGACGGTCTGACTCGTAAAGGGATGTTGGAGACCAGTTTCAGTCCGTGAATGTTAGAAGAGGAAGCGGTGGGCAGAAGTAGTAGACGACTCCCTGCCTTGAGATGCCTTTTTAAAGCAAAGCTAATAAAAAAAACGAACAACCAACCAACCAACCAACGAGATTCTAGGTAGCCCAGGGTTATTTCTGACTGCCGAAAGTATACCCTAAATAGCCGGTAGCTCTTGTGACGTGTGCCGCGGTGGGAAGTCTGGAGTAGGAAATCCAAGGTGTGCTTTGTTTTTGCCGCTAGGGGTTGAACTGAGAAAGAACCGTAGGTGAAGTCGATAAATGTCCGGTGCGCGATTTGGATACCTTGCTTGGTTTGCCTGCCCGTTGAAGGACACAAGCAAGGTCACGTTCTCTTGGACGGAATGATATGTTTCTTTTATGTGTGTGTGTGTACACACATATTGCATTATATTACATATTGCATTACTATTGTCTGCTTTCCTTTGGAGGAGAAAGCTTCTGAAGATTTCCGCGTTGTTGCAAAGGACAGATAGTTTTCTGCTTGCTATTAAGCGCGCTTTAGAATGCTGTATATCGCGTTCGATCAACGAGGAGTGAAAACGGATCAAAGCAGAACAATAAGCCAAGAACTGAGTGAGAAGAAAGGGCTGGCAGAGGGTCTCCTCCTCTAGATGGCCTTATTTGGAGAACTGTTATTACTATTATCCTTCTCCTGTTTTCTCTTCCAGTTGCTTTTTTCCCTACAGGAATTGTTTGGAGAAGCTTCAAAAAAGTTTTAGCGCTGGGCAGAGCCATAGGGATATGGAACACAGAAGGAAGCTTTCAGTGTATCCGAACCAGCTGGTTATATATCAACACAGTTTCTAAGGCTCAATTAAAAAGAAAAAGACAAAACCAAGGCACAAGAGGTTTACCTGGGTAGTAGCATGAAAAGATGTTTGGGACATGAGAATGATGCTTTAAGCCTCCCAGCTGATGCTTCTGAGTTACATAGCATGTTACTCTTTATAAGGCATACTGTACTTTGCAAATGGCTAGCTTCTGTGGTAAACGGGGAAAGTTGCTTGCTTGAGGATGTTTTTTTTTTCCCCCTCCCCCAGCTCTGGCACAAAAAGTTGTAGCGCGGAAAGAGCTGAGAGGGTTGCCATGCAAAGGGGAAGCAGTGAAAAGGGGCTCCCCTTGCTGTTTGTTGGAGCTTTTTATGGGAAGCTGTGCAGCTAAAGCCTTTACTTCTGGCAACCGAGTGGCACTTTCCCGCTAATTTGCCTTTCAAGGGGGAAACTGTTTACCTGTGCAGTCTGTAGACAAGGTCATTCAATATAAGAGTTGTCTTTCTCCTGGAGTAATCTTGATCTGCAGCAACCCAGGGAAATCAGTGAAACCTTGGGTATTGTTGCATTATGCAGCTAAATGCACATGGATCCTGGATGGTTTAAAAGGGCTTTTCTTTTTCTTTCTGAGCCCATTTGGGAGGGGGTTCACGGCAGCAAGGGCATTGCCTGCTACACGCCACTCTCCTGTTAAAATTCATAATGGCAGCTTAGACTTAGCTCATTTATCCCAGCAAGGTCATTTCAAAGCAAGTGCCTACTTCATTAGCTGTATACAGGGAAAGAGGAGGTCCTGAAATAAGATGCTTTTAAACAAGCAGAGATAGCCAAGGGACTTGTTTTGTTAAATGGAGCTGGAAGAATATGCTCCATATTAGCAGGAAATGCAACAAACACAAATGTGGTTTTGGATGAAGTCTGTGTCCATTTCAGTCACCTTAATTCTCCCTGTAACTGAGTTACTTCTATTACTGAGTTACCTCATATTGTTGTCCATAGCTTTGAGTTATTTCAGGGCTTGGAAACAAATGCAGATGACAGTAAGAGAACAAGCTGTGAATTTGGGAGATTAAAACGGATCGGTTCAGCTGGCTGCAGACATTTAGATTTCCTTTTTTTTTTTTGTCTTCTGCCAGATGTTTTTCAAAAGTGAAGCTAGTTTGTTTTATTATTATTATTATTATTATTATTTTTTTAAAAAAACTGTGAATATACTCCCACTTCTTCCTTTAGAAGACCTGGAGTGGATCACCAAAGTTCAAGCAGTTTCTTACACTCTGGTGGAATGAGTAAACAGGACCATCTCTCTCCCTTCTGCCCTTCCTTCTCTCTTTTCTTTTCCCCACTCTAAAGGCTTAACTGATACCAATGTCCTTTTGGAGTGGTTAAGGGAATCGAGTGAACGTAGACTGCATTTGTTACCAGGACAAAGGGCAAGAGAAAGAATGTCCTTCTTTCATTTAAGTTTCTTGGCTGTCTGGAAAACTTAGAAAATGAGCGTGAAAGCAAAGCAATGGCATTCAAGAGATGGATCTTTTTGCAGTCTTCCTACAGGGTGGGCTGGCTTGCTTCTGTGTGGGCAAGGTAAAAGAGCCAGGCAAATCCTTTTGCTTTTACAAAGCCTTTTCAGTTATGCACTCCAATTATGAATGCATTTATTTATAGCTGGGATCTTGAATTAGTCTGGAAGAACTCACCTAAATTCATGGTTCCAGCACCCCACCTGAAAGGTAAACCAAATAAGATCAGCTCCTCCTGCATCAGGTTTCTTCAACCTGGAGCCCCTTGAGGTGTTGGGCAGCACGTGCCAGAATTCACTGCTAGCATGGCACCTGCTAGGTGAACACTGTCTTAACAATTTTCATCTCTTTAGGGTAGGCTTTAGAGCAGGGGTCTCCAACCTTGGCAACTTTAAGCCTGGAGGACTTCAACTCCCAGAATGCCCCAGCCAGCAAAGCTGGCTGGGGTATTCTGGGAATTGAAGTCCTCCAGGCTT